AGCGACACACGCCCAACCCCTTCCTCTCCTAGCCGGTAAATGTTACGCGCTCTATAATTACATATGGTTATTTTGTACTATATATTAACTTGTAAATTACATGCGTGTTGCAGAGTCCCCCATAACGCAGCGGCGCGCAGCACCTCCACACTGCAACGCGGACACACGCACTGCGAGCACGCTGCATGTTGCACGCTGCACGTTGCGCGCTGCACGCTGCAGGCGGGCGCTCGCTGCACGCTGCACGCTGCACGCTGCAGACGACGCAACGTGCGCACCAAATCATACAGTGATACAGACAAATGTATTGATTGCTAACAACGACGCAGCGATCACAACAACCAGCCATGTTGCCAACAACACTGACAACACTCACAACAATACGAGCAACATTATGTGCAAATTTGTTGTAAAAATCATATATTTGTATAATGATTTGAACAAGTACTAACTTCTGAAATCAAACAAAATGGTTTGTCAGATATAAAAAAAAATTAAAACACGCAAATAACCGCAATAAAAATACGAATTGAAAAGCAAACAGAATACTAAGAGAAGATATATTTAATGACAGAACATTTTGGTTATTTGTTAGCAATAAATATAAAATGGACAATTTCTTACAATGCGATATCACCTGGTAAACTTGACAGAAAATTGTCCTCTCTCGTCACAATTCAGTGAGGACCTGACAGAACGACTTTCTGTTCATCCTAATAGTAACGTAAGAGCTTAAAAGACACCAAGCTTTTTTTTAATTATTTCACAATAAACAATGTCTAGTTGTAACTCATCAAAGGCTCATGAATTTTAATAAAATTATTAATTCTAGTTTACACTAAAATAATCATGTTTATATGATTAATACGAGTTAATTCAGTGCAGTGCTATTTAAAACAAAATCATGTAAATATATAAAAGGACGATAATCTGCGAATTTATTTTTGACAGTGTGATACAGTCAGCTGCATAATTTATCATAAATTTACAAATTTAAATATACTTCCCATTTTAACAACACATACACATTTTTGAAATTGAAAGTGTATACAAGTTTCTAAAGCTTCAAAAATGGATACATATTTATGCAGCTGACTGTACTTTGAATCAATTATTTTGAAGGATAAAAAATACTATATTGAAAATGTCTCAAATTCAGTGATTTTAGTATCAATAGTGTGGACATGTGGTTAAACTTAATTACAATTAGATTGTCGACTGGTGACTATTTGATTCGTCGATTTAACCGTCGAATTCCACTGAACAAAAGGAAAATGAGCGGGATGACCATGTTTTTGTAAGTGTTCAGACCAGCGTTTCTCAAAGTGTGCGCTGCGGAGCCCTGGACCTTTCTTGATGGTCCATATAAATCTGATACGGAATATAATAAAAAAAAACAATCGAATTGGGAATCTTCTCCTTTTTAAAGTCTTTTAAAAAAATTAAAAGGGTATCATAGGGTTTCCTCAATTACTTTTATTCCAAAAATGTTCCGCAGTCAAAAAAAAAGTTGAGAACCGCTGGTTTAGACAGAAAACTACGGAGATGTACTAAATCTTATGTGAAGGGTTTATGTAAGGTATTGTGTAAAAGCATTTCCTCAGAATTAACTATTTATAATACACCCCTTGTTGTGGGGGTGTCTGTCATATTTACACAATACTATCGTGATAATTAGTTCCAATTTATTAATTATAAAATTTTACAACGCATATCTCATACGTTTTATACACAGGTAAACGAACTGCCCAACAAGATGGATTTCCATCGGACCAGGTTTTGCAAAAGCTTGCAATTTAATAAAGCAATAATAGTTATATAATAATATTTAATATGTCAGTTATACTAAATTACGAAGCCTCCGTATGTTAAGCCGAATGTATTTAGACATGTCTGGATCGATGGAAAGCCGCCTTGAGACTGAAGCTTACACTGCGGTAAGTGCCTAGGATTATATGAAAGTGGTGCGAGACAATGCTCGTGTGCGCTGGTACACAATCGTCCATTGCCCGACGTCGCGGGGACTCACTTGTGATTCGTGCCTTAGTACACTGTTTAGTATCAAATATGACTTGTCTCCGCGCGCTTGCCGCCCGGCGCCTGTCACTGCCACTGTCACCGTCGCCGTCACCTGTCAAAGTGACGTATCGCGTGACAGCCGCGCTCGGGCCGGCCGGTGGCTTTAGGTAAATTGTCGTGTGCATCTGTAAATTGTGTCCTCGGTGTAAATTAAATTTAAATTAGAAACATAACTTCGATCAAAAGTAAAGTGGTTAGAGTATATATTTTTATAGCGGCCATTTTGTTCAGTTACCAGGGAATATTAGCTTCGAGTGGTGTGTTTTCTGATGGAGATTCCACAGATTCCACGCACTGTTGCACCTGTCAGATTTGACGTGGGCACCGCGCGGTATCGTGCCGTCTCGCTCTCTCGCCGCAGTATTATACTTTTACTTTAATTCGACGTTCACATCTGTCCCGGGCATATATTTTTTCATTGCGTCGTTTTTATTTTATAATTAACAGTATTTTTGAATGTTGAGAATGTTTTAGCGAGCGAGACGGCATCGGTTCAGCTGCAACAGTGCTTACGGACCTTTTGTGTGTGTTTGTGTGTCGTACGAAATCTTACAATTTTATATGATGTCAACAATCCTCAGTTTTCTTAAGAATGGGATTATGCCATTGATATGCTGATAAATATATTTTTTTGCTAATTTATGATTGTAGCAGAATTGGTGGTAGATAATCAGTTTATGGGTTTATTTGGCGGCGGCCTCGAGCTCGCAGACCTCAATTTCGATTTAGTATTTGTTTTAGTTAAGATAAATTTATTGCCGGCAACACTCGGCCGCCCGACTCGTTACATTAACACAATGTATCAATGCGGGCGGCGAGTGTTGCCACCACTGTAATGTAACAAGGAGACAAGTGTTGCCTGTGCTGGGTTACTATTGTCTACTTATTTTAATTCCTGGATAAAATCGACGCAATGTAAACTATCCATGTACTGGCAACCCGTTTTGCATCTTTGTTTTTTCGCTTTATTTTCTAACTTGCAATGAAATGGTTATCGATTATGTTTATCATTTATGTAGATAAATTGTTTTTAGTATATTAATTTTTGATGAATAAAATGCATCGCTGCTGAACCGGCGCGTCACCAGCTGCAGCGCTAGAGGGACAACTCTGTAAAGATTAATCTAATTATTTAATTAAAATGTATAAGTTTTTCAAAGATTGTTTTTATATATATTCCTTATTTTGATATATTCCTATTGTGTTTGCGCTGGCTGCTGGCAAACTCAGCTCCCATAGAGAACCACAGTCTATCAGTTTCATTCAATTGTTTACTTGTGTTCTAATTGCAATCATCTTAAAATAATAAGTTTTAAATAAAACAACATGTTCATACAATATGATTATAATTTATTTATTAATAGTTTACAAAGACATTATATCGTACAAACTTTAAATTTTAGGATCAGCACAATTCGCAGTACAAATACTTAAATAGATTATTTGTTCATTATCGTTACGAACAGTTTGTGCGGCGTCTGTCTGTCTGCCCCACAACATGCATAGCGTGATGCTGCCGGCGACCTGGCTACTGCTTTTTGATCGATGTACAAAGCCAGATTTGATCGCAGTATTTGTCGTTGCCGGGAACAGCGCTCGCAGGGGAGCTTACAGTTTCGTGACAAAACCGAGCGCCGCGACACAATTATATCAAAAGTAGGTCCAGCTAACGTCGCCACAAACTGCACTCGGACGAGACCATTCAAAGTACATCGTAAAAAATTATATAAAATTATCACTAAGGGATATAAGTACACGGTCGAAAGAGAAATAATCCGACGGAGCGGTCGTACAGTCGGATCGTTTCCGTCATCAGTCTCGCGCGGACTTGCGCGGCAATAAATAATACGTAGTTAATGTATAAAATGATCCTCAACAAGCGAAAAATAATTCTACGATTATAATAAGGAGAAGCGATATTTCCATATGATCACATTCGGCGACACCTTAACCGTACTAAATGCAGAGAGACGCCGCCCTCGGCGCTCCGGACCTTCACTTAAGTACTAGAAATGCCACATCGGACTCGCGGCACTTACGTATCGTGTTACGTTAGCGGGCGGGTGTCGGCAGCACCGCGCCCTCTACTCTACAATTGTATGTGAAATGTTCAAGGAAATGCGACTCAATGTTACAAAAAGAGATGACGTCGATATGTCTATGAGATTCAGGTGAGCGTGTGATGTGTGGGCGGCGAGGGCGAGGGCGTGGGCGCGGGCGGGGCCTAGTACTCCCAGAGCGTGGCGCTGGCGAGGTCGGGTCCGGCGAGGCGGAAGGCGCCGTTCTTGTGGGCGGCGAGGTAGCTGCCGCCCTGGGCCGCGCGCACCGCCAGCCGCGTGGGCTCGCGCAGCTCCAGGTGGAAGCCCTGCGGCCGGTCCGAGTCGCAGGACACGCCCTCGCTGTCCGCCAGCCAGTACTTGCCCTCGCGACCTGCAGCGACATGCACGAACACACCTCAGTTCTAACGTTCACATTCACTCACATCGTCATCCGGAAACTTAGGATAGTCACTTGCCTTTGAAGTAGACCTCCCCCTTGGGGCCGCGCACCACCTGTATGGTCTCGTAGTTGGCCTTGTTGCACTCGAGCCGCGTGCCCTTGGGACCCACGAAGCCCTGCTCGCACTTCAGCACCAGGATCGGCCTGCACGGGGAACGACCATGAATACAACACTGGGACACGAGAAACGATAGAGATGAAAGTGTAGGAGGAGCACCGACCTGTTGATGAGGTAGAAGTAGTACTTGCAGTTGTCGTCGGGCTGGTCCGCGTTGGCGTAGAGGTGTCCGGAGCGCTTGGTGGTGAGGTACTTGCCGTTGTTGGCGCGGAAGGCGACGGCGCCGGAGCCCTGCCACTCGAGCTGGAAGAGCGCGTTGGAGGAGCGCGAGTCGGCGCTGGCCTGGATGCCGCCGCCCGCCTCCAGCGTCCAGTAGCGGTCCTGCATGGTGCGGATGTACCAGCGCCGCGTGCCCCAGTCGAACTCCAGCTGGAACGTCTCGTGCGAGCTGATCTCGTCCTGGTTCGCCGTCACGTCCACACCTACCACACATACCACTCTCTTACACCAAACGACATTAATAGAACAAGTGTCATTGATAAATTTACACTTCCTTAAACGTATTCGTCAGTTTGTAACGATTTATATCGCCATGTCATTTGAGACAGCAGACACCGGAGCAGTGCTACGCCATGTTAGGGGCTCGGTGGTGCGAGAAGTGCGCGCGCCGGAACATAACTGCGACGTGCTCAATTAGCGGACTCTCATCGATTAACAGTTTACGTATACGTCTTATGTTACCAAACCAATCTAGATTAACTGTAAGTCTTGATATGTATTACATATGAAAGAAAAATAAACATTCACTTATCTCCGTTTGATATCTGGGATTCAATGCGAACGCATAAATTAATTTTTACTTATAAATGACTAAATTCGATGTTTAAAATTGTGAGGCTTTTTTTCGAATTGTTCTAATAAAAGGCGTTTGAAACTGATGAAAAATGATTAACTGATAACTAGGAACGATACTGAATAAAATGTAACATTAAACGAGGCGCACGTTATTTACTCAGGTGTTACTATGCGTCAACGGCGGCGCATAAGAGCAGTCAAGCAATCGGGCAGTCGGGGTCAAACCCTTGGAACAAGTTAGTCAATCAGCCAGACGCAATATTAGGCAGATATCAGTCAGTCAGTCAGTCAGAGGCAACCCTAAGCAGTCGTCAGTCAGCCGTCGATAGTTTCTCGTCTCGCGCGGCGCGGCGCAGGCATCCGTGATAGAAACGCGGGAAAGTACCGACTCAACAATGGCGGACATTTTTTGCCGCGAATATCTTTACGGTACGAGTCGTGGCCCTCGCTGACAGAGACGCAGACATTGGATTAAATAGGATGAGATTAGAAATGACATTGCATTATCCAACATGAATGTAACCAAAACAATGTCTGTACATAATAATCACATAATGATGTAATGTCATCAGTATAATGGTTCTAGACTCGTCGGACGAGTCCGCATCCGCCCGCCGCGGCATGGCGCGGTGCGGCGCGGTGTGGCGCGCTCCAGTCGGAGCAACACATTAGTTTCGTATGCTAAATTATTCCGTCACAACTATCTTAGTGGGACTAAAAAGAAAACATTGATGCGCTGTCATCGTATACAATTGGCGTCATCTAAACTTATTTATGATCCAATAAAAATAAATTCCTATTCAAACGAACTTTACTGGTTTATTTAAAAATAATAAGCTATTATTGTTTTTTTGAAATAAAATGCACATTTGTTTTTTTTTCTATGTTAATGAGTGTTGCACCATGATGCAAGGATTTTAATATCTTAAAGCGAAGAATGAACTGGAATCTTTTGAATTGCATAAAAAAAGTTATGAACCAAATAAAAGGATCTAATAATTTTACCTATTTTTGTTGAATAAATACTTTAGATCTGAAATTATTTTATATAAAGAAAACAAAAAAAAGTGAAATCATAGTTTACTAATGACAATTGCTTTGTGATGAAAAAAAAAAAAGAAAACAATATTTGAATTTGTTAAATTTGACCGAGTCACGACGATAGAATTTAATCGTGCGGAGTTGATATATAGACAAAATATACATATTTTGAAGTAGACATGATGATGAGGAGGACGTGAGGGCGAGGTGAGGACGCAAGTATGGCAGCGGCCGCTACATGCAGGCGGGCACGCTCTGCACGTACTACTTAGTAAATTATTTATGTTTATACACAGAACGTGCACGTATATCTAATGATGCTTGTCTTAACTTACACCAGCTAACTAAATCTTACATTATTATTACTCGTTGCTTTGATTTCTTACTTCAATACAGTCTACATGTCGGTTAGTAAGTCGAAAAGATTTTATTATGTTTCCGTATCAATATAGCGTTGAAAGCAGAGATCGTATCAGCTGTAAACTGAGGTAGTGACATGGTGGTGGCATACTGACCCTGTTTGACGGAGACGTATTTGTCGTTGAGGGCGGCGACGAAGGCGGCCTGAGGCAGGCTGTCCTCGAGGGAGAAGAGCTCGTCGCGGGTGACGTTGGTGGAGCGCGTCTTGAGCACCGCCTTGGAGCCGATGGGCGCGAGGTACGCCCCGCCCGCGTCACGCAGCGCCAGCGCGCCCGCGTGGTACTCCGCGCTGAACAGGCACTCCGCCGTGCACGTCTCCACCAGCTGACACAACACAACCGACACAAACATTCAAACCTTTGCCGACTAAATTCACAATCAAGATGTAATCATTTAATTAGATGTCGCGCGCGGCTCCGTCCGCATGACATTAAAAAAAACTTAATTAGTAGCATATGTATTCTTCCAGACCATATAAAATACTACATCTATGCCTAATGTCAGCAAAATTCATGCAGCCGTTCCGGAGATACAACATCACACTTCAAACATCTATTCATCCTTCTAAAACATTCGCATTTATAATATTAGTACGAAGTAAGATAGTGAGATACATATAAACTTGATTAAAGTGTGGAATAAAAACAAAGTTTCAAAAACAATCGAGGAATGTCGAGTTGTATATATTTTGTAAGATCGGCTGCAGTCGGTCAGGTAGTGTGGGAACAACGCGCCACTTGAATAGCTTCCACTGTTCTCATGCATTATCCCGTACAAATTGCCCTGCCCCGGGCAGACGACACACAGGCACAACACGCACACCTTATTAGGCTAAGGTTTATCATCTCGTAAAATTATATGAACCAGTTAGGATTGCTACTTTGTAGTACTAAGGTTATATTATAATTACTTTGTCTTGATTGTAATTCAGGATTAACCTGTTTTTTTTAATAGTAGATCATTGAAAGTAATAAACATAACTGGTAATTATATTAATTTAAATATGAATTTATGAACAACCTTTTCTAAAGTAGACAGATGAAATTAGCTAATGCAACGATCAAACTACATAGCCGACAAAGGTAAACATTAGCTTGTGGAGAAGTTCAAAGGGAGGTAAAAAGGCAGATGTTTGAGTTGACGGGAACGTAACGTGAGCGCGCGTCAAAGCGCTTTGTAGATTAAAAGTTTGTCTTTTAGTGAAGCTTTACAGCGGTGGCTTTTTCAGCGATGATTTTAAAAAACGTATAGACATTTCTCGGGAAAGACTCAGAATTACAGGCTTCTTACCTTTCCACAATGAACATAAAATACATAAGTTTTATGTATGTATGTAATATCATTAAATACAAGAGTTTTTGTACTGAATATTTTGACTAATATGGTATTTATTCAATAATTGCAATTGCAAAAGGAAGGTAAAAGAAGATATAAACCTACTCCATCTTATTCTCTCTTTCTGGATCCGTACTCCTCTTGACAACGTAAGGAATGTCAAAGGATTTACAATTAATCTAATAGCATTTGTCTAGAACAGTAACTAAGATCAGATGAACTTGTTCATTGGAACATGTTGGAAGGGTGTTTGATGTTACCTTTCCTCCCGCGCTGAGGTATTTGTTGTTGCAGGTGTGCAGGGCGTACTTGCCGCCCTCGTCCGCGCGGAACTCCAGCGTGAAGAGCGTGTCTTCGCCCCACGGCACGTTGGCGTCCACGTGGATCTCGTCCAATGACTCGGACAGGTGCGCGAACCGCTTGCGTCCGATAGACCTTAGGTTCACCTGCCGAACAACACGCATTACTTCGTAGCAGAGATTCATATATTATTATTTTTGGAAGATCCAAAGACATCGTATCCTGTGTTACCTGCGGTCTGGCGGCGAGGTGCACGTGCCAGAGCTCGGCGTCGCCGGGAGTCTTGGCGGTACAGGTCAGCTTGTCGGAGCTGGAGCCAAGGAAGTAGCCGCGCTCCACGTTGCGCAGCGCCCAGCGCCCGCTGCCGTCCTCCGACACGCTGTACGGCGATACATTTTTATTACTTACCTCTTACTTGCCCATTCAGACTCGTTAAGAAATCACTAAACCTCAGTATCAGGCTAACAAAGCTTTTTGTTTTGAATTATAATCGAAATTGTATAGATTTATCTGTTGCATTTTATGTTGTAGTAGCGAGCACAGGATATTGTAAAATTTCCTGTTAAAACGTTGTAAACATAAGTCGTCCACCTCCGAGTATTTTTACAACATAACATGACTAAGTCCCAAAGCTCCAAATACTCATTACTTTTGCATTCAAATAAAAATATTTTACGTACATTCGAGTAATTTATGGTCGTGCGTTTTTTTTAGAATCCTTATAAATAACGAGGGGAATGAAAGTTTCCCGCTATTTTTGTTTATGTATATAAATATAATATGATATAGATGTAATACACAGCTTGTGTTGAGGTTGCTTTTCGTATTCAAATGACGATCAAGTTACAAATACAATCTAATGAATATTAAAAAAATTATTAACGAAATGCTTTAAATTAAAATAGTTATTGATTTTTGTGATCGTTAATTCTCTAGTCTAGTCTTCAGAAACAAATCACAGAGAACACATATGAATTTAGTGAACCTGTAAAATCAAAATGACCAAGAATGTAACGGCAACGTATTGATGCGAGTCAGTTTGTTAACAATGGAATCATTCAATACTGAAGAGAATATGCAGTGTTGCGCGACATACATTACCACTTTACAATACATACGTTTTGCAACGCGAAAACAAAGGCGGCAATGTTTCCCCTTTAAGTAAAAAACACTATACGGTTGACAAGCACCACCAAAGGTGTTGGTCTAAGAGTCCTAATAGCTAGGTATGGTTCTAATACTTATGTTAAGGTACACTTTTGTTTTTGAGCTGAACATTTCGCTACGCTTCAGCTTTTAAGAACAATCAGCCATTAACAATATCAGTTCCTGCTATTTATGGAGGCAATAACTCAAGTCATACGCGACCGCCATGCTTGATTTTGGCAAAGAATTGTCGGGTCGTAAATAAAAACTTATTTCGTGTTTTCGCTCCTCAGTGTTGTGAACTTCCTGTGACTCACTGCAGGCGGATTAGTGAGCATCGGAAGGGAATATTTTATTTTTCATATCCGGTTTAAAGACGATGCTTTGTGTTCTTTTATATACGACTATAGACTATCGGATGACTGACTTCAGTTGGAATTTTTAGATTTAATCAAAAAGCAGCCAGGCAGTTGAATAAAATTTTAAGTTCCCAATTCAGGTTTACACATATTGTTTTACTAGCTTAGTAAAACAATATTAGGTTTAAAAGTTGTCAATAACAGTTGCTGTTACCTGATGTGGAACTTGCTGCCAGGTTCCTTCTCGTCAGCCTCACAGGTAACGTTGCCGAACGAGTCCACGGCCAGGTACTTGTCCAAGTGCGAGCGAAGGTAGATCATGCCTGTCATAAATAAAACACTTCATCAAATTACATCCAAAATGTAGTAAATTTATATCACCTCACATAGACAAGTTCAAGTTACTTGATAATGCTGGCAAAACAAAACAACTATAATCATACATATAAATAAGATTTTTGTTTTATTCATTAAACGAGATCTACGTCAAATTCACATGTCTGGCAACTTACAAATTCAATTTCCGTATACATGTTCGCTGGATCGTGTGGGGAGTCCGCAATCTAGTCAATAGGGACCGTCTGGCACTCCCCTTACGCTCACTACCGGTCACATTTTATAGAATAAATCTATAGTAACAAGCAATCCTCTTTTTATCTTCCTTGTCAATTAACACGCACAGAAAAGTTAATTTAAAATAAATTAAATCTAGAAATATCCATGAATAGAATCACCTAACCAGGGGTTTATACCGTATTAAAATATAAAATGCATCAAGAAGATTTCCCACCGCAGTCAAAATAATATAAATAAGAGTTTGCATCCACTGCGGTTTTCTGATTGCGCTAAAATCAACCAAATTAACTTTACATACATTTATTTTTAAAAATTAAGCTTTCAGTAATGAAAGAATTGATTGTCTTTAAAATTATTGAATAATAGCTCATAATATGCATGTAAAATACTAGGGCATTGCTTTCAATCTAGCATTTGCTAGACTTTAGTTTATTTTCAAAAGGGATAATTAACCTTTAAGGTTGCAGAGGTCATGGTGATTGTGGTGTAACGCCTACGACACCACCGTGCACGACTGAGCGCGGGGTTAATGACCTCCGTACAATGCTACAGACGGACAAACAATATGTAAATCACACGATCGCATCATATTCGAATCTAACACTAGTTGTATGCTCTTGTCCATACCTGATGCAACGTTAATAAATCACAAGAGTAACTTACTAGTTTATTTTATTTTAATTAACTTTTCATTGACTCCATAATTGGGATAAACGGACAATAACTTTCGATTAGTCACGTGATTGCCACGCGTCATAGATTTTTGAAGTTCGTTATGGAATTGTTTCGTAGCGAATGCGACCCGCAGTTCAATTTTCATATTCTTCTTGTCATTTTGTTGTTTTTTAATTAATCTCGACTTCACTTCATTGAAATGTTACAAGTGTTCATTATCTGATAAAAATACCTAACTGGTGGAAAGCTTTAAAGCTTTTCCCACAAGTCATAAATACTCGAGTATCATGTTTATTATTGCAAAGTTTGTTTTTAAATCCTAAATAATATAGAATATATAATAAATATAAATTACACGTCATACAAATGTTTGAGTTTCCTTCCTTCCTTGTATAATGTTGTAATGAAGACGAATATTAATTTATATTTGCAGTTTTTAATATATTTAGTTGTCAATTTATTTAATAATAAAACATTAACATAATTAATTATTGCGAAATAAATATAGATTTTTATGTAAATAAAACATAAAAGGGAAAATTCTTTTAAATATCTCTTACATACAAAGTAAAGATATGTTGCGTCCTAAATTGACGTTATAGAGGCTTTCATAGTATTAGGACACGCAAAAGTCAAACAACTTATATGTAAATAATATGAATGCATTAGATTTGTTAGTGCTTTAGACGATCTGAGTAACCGGATGCGGCGCTATACAAGATGTGAGACACGCCGCCGATAGAAAACACTTTGCATTGAACATTTACTGAAATGGACTTGTATTAATGCATAAAACTTTCAGATTTCTCTGCGGTATTTTCCATACATTATGATTATTGTAAATGTGACAAACTGTTATTTACTAAATATGAATAAATACATAATATAATTTCAAATCGGGATATAATCTGATTACAAATAACTCGATGTTTTACGTCAGCTTTGTTTAAGATATAAATATTTAAAGATATAATATGCATTTCTTTTATGTTTGATAAGCCAGCGCTTGACCACGATCCCACCTGGTGTTAGTTGAGATTTGGTCTAAAGTAAAATAGAATTAAATTAAATTAAAAAAAATAAATAAAAAAACCAATACTATAATAATAATGTATTCCATATATATAATAATTTTTGGTAAAAAAAACGAACAAAGATTCAGAGTACAGTCAGCGTCATATAGATCGTCACAGACAAGATATGCAAATATATAGGTACACCAAAAGTAATCAATTATATCGGTACAACAAAAGTCCTCAAAATAATAGATACATTCACCCTGCTCAAATACATCGGTACATACACAGCGTCAAATATATGAGTACATGCAAGATGCTCATAAATATCGTAGCAGCCACAGCGTCATAAGTAACGAAGCAGTCAAGGTGCGCAAAAATATCGGTACATTTGACAAAATTGAACTCTATCTCTATATACTTGTGATACAATTTGGAATAAACTACTTCTGTTACATTCATTTGACACTTTGTATTAACATTATAGGTTGTCCGGAAAGTTCGTTCTGATTTTCGATATAAAGCTTACAATAGACTGTAGCTGAAGTGGATTCATTTTCGGATATCCACCATTATCAAACGTCACAAAAATTTCTATATTGGGAATAATTTCATTTCATTGGTTGAGATAAAAACTAATTTTTAAAATTGTAGCCAAAAATAAAAGACGTTTTAGGTATAGAGTCGTACCAATATAATTTAAAAACATTTCCAAAAATTTAAGAGAACAGGGTTTCAATTTTCCTTATAAAGCGGCACGAACTTACTGGGCAACCCAATATTTTTCTTCTCCTGTCATAACGCTTAAATATAAAAGTTTGTCACGCCGAATATGACAGATACGTTTTTTAACTAATGTCAAATTTTGCCTTGTCACAGTATATACTAGTTTGGCTCAGTATTCTAGTATGTTTGCCGTAATATGTATTTAAGTTTACCGGTTCGAATCTCAGGCTACTTTTTTTTTTCATTTTATCAATCATTTATACAGGGTTATTTTTTCATAACCAGTAAAAATTTGGTAATGTAAAATTTTACTCGACAATTTTTTTTTATTTTATAATTTTCGCTGTCGGGTAGAAAGAAATTTAAATAAAGTTAACGACTATTAGGTCAGACCATCGCGGGGTGAAGTGAGTGGGCGGAGCGTGGATTGTCATTGCGGGTTTTATGAATGGTATGCGCGGAAACACCCACACTGGAATGTTTATTGCAATCGACCAAAAATTTGATGTAGTTTGGATATTGACATTCAGTTTTTTTTCTTTGTTTCTTAAATATAATCAGTATCAGTAAAAGGTAAAAGTAAAAGTGTTATTTTT